GGTCTCGCTGCCCAGGCGGGTCTCCAACCCGCGGGCTCAGGCAATCCATTCACCTCAGCCTCCCAAAGGCTGAGCCACCGAGCCCGGTTCTTTTTTTGTTAATGAGTTGGAGTCTCTGCCACCCAGGCTGGAGTGCAGTGGTGTAATCACAGCTCGTTGCAACCTTGACTTCTTGGGCCCAGGCAGTCCTCCCACCTCAGCCTTCCACACAGGTGGGACCATTGGCATGAGCCTCCATGCCCAGCTAATTTTTTGATTTTATGTAGAGATGGAGTTTTGCTGTGGGCCAGGCAGGTCTTGAACCTTGGGCTCAAGCAGTCCTCCCACTTCAGCCTCCCAAAGTGCTGGGATTATAGGCATGAGCCATTGTGCCTAGCCTAAGAGGGAAGATTTGAAACAGGGGATTAACCCTCTGGGTGCTTGTTGTGAGACCTCCCGCATGTGTCGTCCCCCAGCCCCTGCACCCTTTGTAATCGTTGATGGGGAAGGGGTTGTTAGTATGACAGACCTATGACTTCCAGTGTCTTTGGGAAAGGTCACCTCAGGCCTGTTCAGCAAGAGTGTCACCCTCAGTATTTGTTCCCAAGAAGGGCTGAGACCACGATAAAATGATATTCTTTATTCTAATTATAGAAGTCGTATGTTTTCAATCGGGAGATACGGAAAAAAGTTGAAAGAAGAAAACAAAATTCATCTATGCTCTCATACCCAGAGTTAACCGAGGTATGATCTAGCAGTACATGTGTAAATGTTTGGATGAACATGCTCCGTTTAAAATTTTCCTTTTGAAATTGAGCTCATGGTGTGGCTCTGTTCTGGAGCCTGCTTCCCCCCGTGACACATTTCTGGGCATTTTTCTGGGTCTTTGATCTTCTGAGTCAGGAGTCGGCACACTTTTCTTTTGGTGTGTATTCAGGATTTGTGTGCTGTGCGGTCTCAGCTCTGCTGATCTCACCTTGTAGGTGGAAGGCAGCCATCGATGATGTGCAAATGTGGGGGTGCAGCTGTGTGTCTGTAAAACTTTATTTGCAAAACTGAGCTGTTGGATTTGACCCGGAGGCCGCAGTTTGCTGACTCCTGTTCTAGGCCATTCACTGTCATGTATTTAATTAATTCCCTAGTGATGGGAACTTGTCCCATTATAGTTTCTCTTTCTTGTAAACCACTCTGCATTGAAAATCTTTTTTTCTATCTTTTTTTTTTTTTTTTTTCTTTGAGTTGGAGTCTCACTCTGTCGCCCAGACTGGAGTGCAGTGGCTGCTCCCGGCCACTGCAGCCTCGATCTGCTGGGCTCCGGCCATCCTTCTTCCTCAGCCTTCCGAGTAGCCGGAATTACAGGCGTGCGCTACCAGGCCTGGCTGATTTTTTTTTTTATTTATTGTAGAGATGAAGTCTCACTGCCCTGGCAGGTCTTGAACCCGCGGGTTCAGGCAATCCACTCACCTCAGCCTCCCAAAGGCGCGGGATTACAGGCTGAGCCACTGAGCCCGGCTTTTTTCTATCTTTTAATTGTAGCAATAAAACTGACCATCCTATCCATTTTTAAGTGCACCATTCAGTGGTGGTGTGTATACTTACAGTGTGGTGCATCTGACAAATCTGAACC